TGGACATCTTTGGGGAGGGGACTTATTTTCCCTGCCACAGGCAAAGATGATTTATTCCTTCATTCAATAGGCACCTTACTGAGCGCCTAATGTATGCCCATCACTGTGCTGAATGCTGGGGATGGAAAGTCAAGAAAGCAGTCTATGCCAATGAGTTTGCACTCTAGTGGGGATGAGAGACATGTTATTAGGTGGTTATAGCACAGTAAGTACTATGATAGAGGCGTACGAAAAAGCAAATAGGAGCCCCAAAAGGGAAATTAATTTTCTTAGGGAAGTTGAAAGTTTCACAATGAATATTAACTTTTGAACTGAATTTTAAAAGGTTAAAATTTCATAAGGTGAATACAAAACGCAGAGCATCATAATCAGAGAGAACAACTTGTGCAAAGGCCTAAAGTTATGAAAGATCATGGCGTGTCCGAGGAGCAAATAGTAGTTGGATGCTGCTAAAGCTTTGATGGGGTGGCAGTGCATGAGCTAGGTGTTGGCAGAAGATGGAAAGGCAGGCAGGATTCAGATCACAGAAGATCTTTTTATGTGGTAAAGAGTTTGGACTTTATTCTGCATGCAATAGGAAGCCAGTGAAGGTTTTAAATAGGGAGATGTCATGATAAATCTGAGACGCTGGGTGGAGGACAAATGGAGGGGGAAGGAAGCAAGACTGAAGACAGAAAGAGCAGTTGGAAAGGTAAGAGTAATTGAGAGATAGTGGAGTCTGAACAAGACAGTGACAGCAAGGATGGCCAGCCAGGAATAAATTTGAGGGACAGAAAGGAGGAGGAATTAACAAAACTTTTCGACTGGCTCAAGGTGGTGGCATGGGGAGAGGAGGATGGGAGATGCGAATTGAAAGAGATTGTAGAGTAGGAAAAAAGAAAAGAATATGAGCTTTCTAGATAGAAAACGTAGCTGGTATCCAGAGAAATGGGAAATGGAATAAAAAATGGACAAAGGAATAAAAAGTGGAAACATTTTCCAGGTGGAAAATGGAATAAAAGATCAAATAATATGAAGATCTAAGTAGACATTTGATGTGAAGAATGTAGAGCAGTGACGAAAGCATAGATTTTGCAACCAGTCATCTCTCTATTAAATTTCCTCTTCTGGTACGTATCAGCTGGATGGCCTTGGGTGAATTATTTATCTTTTTGAAGCCTCAGTTTCTCCATGTGAAAAGTAGGGACATATTCTGTATTTCAAATGCTGTGAGAATTAAATAAGGAAACATATAAAAAGTATCAAGCAGTGCCCAAAATACAGTAAAGGCCTAATAAGTGCTACTTTCCTTGATAACATTTGAAAAGGAAAAGGAGCAGGACTCCAGTCCATCGGAAGGGGCAGAGAAACTTAGAGTCACTATGGTCCCAGCCAGGTTACAAGACAGGGACTTGGGTACACAGAACAAAGTAAAGAATCCACTTATTTGAACCCAGAAGCAAGGAATGAAGCAGAAATCTAGTTATTAGAACTGAGGTAAAAGATTACAGATGACAGGTGACTTTATGTTATATAAATTATATCTCAATAAAACTGTTAAATACGTAAAAAATAAAAAAAAGTTATGGGTGGATATAAAGCCAAGATGATTCGACGTACCATAAGGTGTTCTGAAACATCTTAACTTTTGTTCTTCCTAAGGTAAGGACCCATCCTAACACCTAGACTAGGGCACTGTCAGTCTGTGTGTGGGGGTGGGGGTAACAGCCCCAGTTGTGAAAGGAGGTAGCCTGCAGAGGTCTTCTATAGTTGGGATTTGTGCTCCCGTCAAGCCCCATCGTTCTGTGATTCAGGTTCAGTTGGAACGTATACGTTGTGACACAATTGGAGAGGAAAGAAATGCCTTGCTTGTTCTGGCTTAGCTTGAGAGTGGTAGAAAGAATATAGAAGAGGTGTTTTTTCTTTGTTTTTGTTTTGCTTGTTTGTTATAGACCAATTTGAGAATTAATGAAAACATTAGAAATTCTCCCCTCAAAGCACAGCCAGACACATGCACATGCTAAATATAATTGTAGGAGATTCATAGACTCCCTGAAACCCATTCGTGGGTTCTTACAGCTGAAGTCTAGGTTAAGAATCCTTGCTAAAGTAATCGGGGCCGGCCCCGTGGCCGAGCGGTTAAGTTCGGGTGCTCTGCTTCGGTGGGCCAGGGTTTCACCGGTTCGAATCCTGGGCGTGGACATGGCACTGCTTGTCAGGCCACGCTGAGGCGGCGTCCCACATGCCACAACTAGAAGGACCCACAGCTAAGAATATACAACTATATACTGGGGGGATTTGGGGAGAAAAAGGAAAAATAAAATCTTAAAAAAAAATAATCGAGGACATAATAAGGTAGGACTGTGCCGGTGATTCATTGTGTAATGTTTTAATGAACCAAAGAAGTACAGGCCCTCAAAGTCACAGTCGATGCAGCAGCAGTTGGCCTTTCCCTAGAGCACTCTATCTTAATTCAAATGATAGCCTTAATTGCTTAATTCAAACGATATGTGGAAAACTTTAGGCGAGTTTAAGCAAGACCCATCAAAATGAGACAGTAGCGGGGCAGGATGTATGGAAAGACAAAGGTGTTTGAAGAGTTGAGCTTCAGAAAAAGGTATATAAGGCATTAAATAACAATTATACCACAGTGTCCGCCTAACCTGGGCCTGGTGTTTATTAAGACAGAGGATGCTTAGAAGTTCTCTCTTCACATATTTCCTCCAGTACCTGCCATTATGTCTAAGATTTTACCGTTAATAATATTCCTTTTTAATTTTATTTTTGCTATTATTTTCTAGAGTTTCTTCCTGCAAATTTGCCTGTGAGAGGCCAATTCTTAAGATGCTGTTTCCTGAACTGATAGAGATTGGTTTGCCAGGTTCTTTCCAATTTAGTCGGCTAAGCATTAGTCTTAGTAGAGAGGCAGCACAGTACACTAGTCACTAACATGGACTTGGGGGCCAGGCGACATGTGTTCCAATCTTGACTACTCTTTAACAAGTCTGCAACCTTGGGCAAGCTACTCAACCTCTCTGTACTTATACAATGGGGGATAATAATACTAATAGTGCCTTATTGTGAAGATTAAATGTGTTTGTATGGATAAAACTCTTAGAACAGTCTAGAAGCACATAGTAGATGTTATAGCAATGTTAGCTATTATTACTTTCCTATAATAATTATTATTAGTCTTCCAACTATGTTTACTCTTCTGACTAGAAGAGTCCCATGTACTTCCCGAGGTTGTTCCCTGGGGCTGCCATGTGGCCCACTGTGGGGTGAACTGAACTCTCAGGGTAGTTCAGGAATTCTGCCTCTAGTCCCTTCTATTTGTGATTAGAAAGACTATGGACTTTCCACCAATCAAGAACATTTATGTGTTCTTTCCAAGGAGTAGGAAGCAGAGGGAACCTTTCCTATATAATCACTGGGGATCGTCCTGCTTGCCAAGTTATTTGGCAAACCCATAGTTCTGGCTTTTCAGGTATACCAGCCTTTTCCAGGTTTGGAACATTGGTTTCCTGCTTTGCTCTGCTGAAATTAAAAGTTTTGCTTCTTCTGATTACAAAATCTATTAACCACATCCAACTCCTATATCTAAGGCAACTCTAAGAGTTGCTTATTTACCTATGATGGAGAGTTTTGTTGAGCTTTTTAAGTTGGGGACAAAAATATATGTTTCATTTCTCACTGTCTTAGGCAAGTCTCTCCTGTTTGCAAGCTAGAAAACTAATCTTAAATCAGCTTAAGCTCTACACTCTCACTTTCTGTGTTTAGTTCAAATTTCTGCGAGAGAAATGTTGTTGGCTACTGGTCATCTAGTGGGTTGGCTACTCTTGAGTTGAGTGTCTACCTCTGTGGGTTGGTAGTGGTGCGGTATATATAGACAAGATGTGTTGACTGAGAAGAGAGCCCCAAAAGGTGTAAATGACTACTTCTTTCGCCCATATTTAGGGCATATACTCCTTTACAGTTTATCTTTATCTTCTTCTCATGTAGGGCCCAGAGCCTAGCTCACTGCTGGGCTACCTATTCAAGGACTGCCTTCTCCTATTGTGATTTTATGATGCCCAACGCTAGCCAAGCCTTGTTACGGTCATGTCTATGTTCCTATTGACCCTGAAACTTCCCTGACCCTACCTCATGTCTTTCGGTTCATTTATTCTTTAAAGACTAAATCTGATGGGGGCCTGCTCCATGGCTGAGTGGTTAAAGTTCCGCGGGCTCTGCTTTGGTGGCCTGGGTTTGTGGCTTTGGATCTCTGGCATGGACCTGCTCCACTCATCAGCCATGCTGTGGAGGCATTCCCACATACAAAATAGAGGAAGATTGGCACAGATATTAGCTCAGGCCTAATCTTCCTCAACCAAAAAACAGAAAAAAAAAAAAAAAGAGGAAGATTGGCAATGGATGTTAGCTCAGGGCAACTCTTCCTCGCACACACACAAAAACTAAATCTGATGAATGAATCCAAAGGTCTGCAACCCCCAAGCAATATAATCCTCACTTAGTGCCCACCACCCGCAGTCTGAAGAACTGAGATTTGTAATGCCATGTTTAGAAAGCTGAGCAAATTTTCATCCCACCATTCCTGCTGCTTGAGGGTGCCATCTTGGGCCAGGAGAAGCAGCAGTTGACAGACACTCCTACGCTGCCTCCCTTCTTAAAAAGAAGTAGCAAGCAGCAGCAACATTCCTTCCCTGTATCGGAACACAGATATTTGGCTTAAAATACTTAAAAGGTTATCAACTCATGAAATAGTGGGTGGCACAGGAGAAAATGCCTCAGAAAATAGGGGTCAAGAGACCTGGGTTGTAATCCCAGATTCAACCACACTGTGTGTATGACTTTTGGCTTCTATGCAGAGATCCAGCCTGGTGCCTTCCCTAGGGCTAGACTAATGTTACATTATTTCTCAGAACCAGCTGGGTTGCTATGGAAGCTTCTAAGTTGCCTATGCAACGTAAATATTTGCAAAAAATACAATCCTCAGCCAGCATTTGCTACAATACCAGAGAGACTGCTTGCCGCTGAGCAATACTAGGATTCCCAGGACAAATGCTGTAGTACTGAGGTATGTGCAGCATTGGTTGGGCTAAAGGCATGCCAGAAGCTGACTTGGGGGGAGGGTTCTCCCTTCTTTTCCCTGAACGTGCCTCTTGGCACTCTGCTCATCTTGGAGAACGAAGACTGGCAAATTGCCTGCCTCTTTTCATTCTGCTTATTCAGCAAATGCCAAAAGAGTGATGAGGAAGACAGAACTCAAGATTAGACCCTAGAATAGGTCCTTGAATTGAAGGATGGCAAGTCTGGAACTGTAGTTATCCAAGACATCTATTTTCCTGCTTCTTTGCCCAGGTCTTTGGTGAAGAGGTTCTTCTAAGTTCCAGCAGCCAGGTGGAAAGTTCTGGATGGCCCACATGTAGGGCCCTAGGCCAAAACTGAGCTACTCTTCGGAGGAAAGAGAAGACTGTGAGCCTGATGGTTCAGCGCCAGCCTCTTTATTAGTAGTAGTAGAGTTAGTATTTTACTATGGAAGCTCTCACTACCCACCTTGTTCAGCTTGATATGTTTGGTGATCTCTGTTTTGGACTTTGAATTTGGTTGGAAGCATGGCAGAGTGTAGCATGGTGAAGCCATTTGACACTGGGAATAAAGAGGCAGAACTAGGTAGGACTATGTCTACTTGGTTTGTGAGTGGTTTCTAAGTTCAGTGACGCTCCTATAGATGCTGAAACTCAGGCAGATTTCTGCCTAGTCACTCATTTTCTAATATACGTGCAAGAGGAAGTTCCAATTCCAAAGAATCCAGTTATTTTCTTCTGTCCTCCATCTCTATTATAGCAGCTAGTAATACTAAAACTGCTATGTATTGAGTACTTTTCTTAGCAGTCACTGTGTAAGTATATAACGTGTAATATCCCATTAAATTCTCAAAATAACACTCTCAGGGGGACATTATCATTCACTCCATTTTATAAATGAGCATACTGAGAGAAATCAAGTAAACTTTTTAGGGTTGGACAGCTAAGTTGCAGAACTGGGATTCAAATCCAGATCTAATTCCAGTACCTATATTCTTCTTGACTGCTCTGTACCCCCTCCTATTACGTTATATTGCATGTAGTTTTAGAAATCACAATCACAATGGTTCTGGCTACCTAAGGTCAGAGGGGTAGGCTCAGCAACTCAGGAATACAGAGAAAACTTTGGCGACATCTACAGAAAATTAAAGAGGTAAATAAAGACAGACAGACGGATCCTAGAGATGAAGACTCCAGGTTTAGTCAGAAGTCAAGGTGTTCCTGGCCACAAACAATTCCACATACGTAAGCAGCCACAAATCAGGTCTACTGGTGCCCCAGGGCCATCTACTCAGTAGCGTACATATTGGACATGTATAAAGCATTTTGAAATCATTTCCCCAAACCAAAACCTCAGTATAAAATTGTGCAAAGGTGAAAATGCAAATTTTAAAGATAAACAAATCAACTTCAATTGTAATTAGATAAGTGCAACGTAAACAAAAATTTTTATACCTTTTATACCTTTTAAACCCATTCAGATTTTTTGAGGTGTAATTTACATACCATACATTCATCTATTTTAAATGTACAATTCGGTGATTTTTTAGTACATTTAAAGAGTTGTGCAGCTATCCTCACAAGCCAGCTTTAGAGTTTCATCTCCCCGCAAAGGACCCCATATCCCTTAGAAATAATTCCTCATTCCCTCATCTGCTCAGCTCTAAGCGCCTACTAATCTTTTTGTCTCTATGAGCTTGCCCATTCTAGACATTTCATATAAATGGAAACATACACAGTAGTCCTCCCTTATCTGTGGTTTCAGTTACCTGCGGTCAACTGTGGTCTGAAAATATTAAATGGAAAATTTCAGAAATAGACAATTTATAAGTTTTAAATTGCAAGCAGTACTGAGTAGCATGAGGAAATCTTTCACTGTCCCATTCCGTCCTGCCCGGAATGTGAATCGTCCCTTGTTCAGTGTGTCTGCACCGTATGTACTATCTGCCCGTTAGACACTTAGTAGCCGTCTCGGTTATCAGATGAACTTTTGCAGCGTTGGATTCCATATAGGGTGGTACTGTCTGCGGCTTCAGGCATCCACTGGGGGTCTTGAAACATATCTTCTGTGGATAAGGGGGGACCACTGCAGTATGTGGTCTTTTGTGACTGGCTTTTTTCATTTAGTGTAAGGTTTTCGAGGTGCATCCATGTCGATACTTCATTGCATAGACTGTCTTTGTAGCATTGAAAGAGAAAAGCATAAATGACTGGTGAGAAGCCTGCCCTCTGCTCAATAGGAAAAGGATTTTCAAAAACCAAAATAAGTGTTGCAGAGTGGACACTAAACACTAAGGATTTAGGACAAGTGAGAAATAGGGTTATAAGAAAAGTAATCAGAAAACTCTGCTTGTGAAATTGGAACTGAGGAACTCAATGATGAGAAAAGTTTTAAGTATCTTTAAGAGGTTGCAAGAACCAGGATACAACTATAATGCTTTTCCGTATATAATAAACAAGTGTTTAAAATTAATGCAAAGTTTCTGAGGAGGCGCCATACCTGCTCCAGAGAAGATTATGAAGAGGAGAAAGAGGTACCTTAGCTCTTCATCTTTGGAGGGGTCTCACTGAATATCTTTTTTGTTAGTTGGATTATGGAAGACACTAGGGGAGGGCAATAACAGGACTGCTGGATTTTCAGAAAAATTAATCAGGGCCTATTCAAGGAGAGCAGAAAAGAAGAAAGATCTAGAATTGTAATTGGGGAGATGATAAAAATTCGCTGTGTGAGGAGGAGGCCAAATGGATGAAGGGGGTTAAAAGGTAGTAACTTCCAGTTATAAAATAAATAAGTGCTGAGGATGTAATGTACAGCATGGTGACTACAGTTAATGATACTGTATTGTATGTTTGCATGTTGCTGAGATCTTAAAAGTTCTCATCACAGGAAAAAAATATTGTAACTCTGTGGTGATGGATGTTAGACAGACTTATTGTAGTGATCATTTCTCAATATATACAAATATCAAGCCATTATGTTGTACACATGAAACTAACATAATGTTATATGTCAATTAAATCTCAATAAAAAATATATATATACAAAAGAAAAAAGTTGCTGTGATGGTAGATGTACTGTAGATAAATAAGTTATCCAGGAGAAATACTGACCCATAGAACAAACCGTCTTAGATAAAAGAGGAGACTGAACTATGTATGTGAAAGGAAAATATGGAAAATTTGAGAGTATTGAGCTAATAAGAAATGAATCATAAATGTCTGTGAAAATGTTATTGCTTTATTTGGTGGTGGAAAAAGATGATAAATATGTATAATATGTAAATAACTTTGCTAATTAAAAACCTACAAGGACCAAACAAGATAATGACTGGGAAAGCAGTTTGAAAAGTAGAAAGCGCTATGCAAATGTAGTTGCTGTTGTCATTAAGTTTTCTGCTTTAGACTCCAGATTATTCTCTCTGCATTAAGCTATTCAAGGATGCTGCTTTATTGTCTTCCTTGGCGAAAACCCATTGTATTTTGTGGCCTTTGGATTTTGGTCACTGTCTTCCCAGTTCGCATATGTATTCTATATTGCAGCTTCCTGTTGCTTATCGTATTTGTCCCAGCCTTGCCTATTCTCTTAGTTCCTCTCTATAGGTGGTAATCCTAGTATCAATCCCACTGGGTTCTGATTTTTGCTCAATCTAAAAGTTTGTGGCATATAGTCGGGTGAGGAAAATGCAATGGGTCATGTCTATCGCGCCATTTCATGCTCTGTCTACCTAACTCTTTGCCTTCCTTTCACTGCTCCTTGTCTTTGTTAGCGGTGTCATCATTGCCTCACTCACCTCGGCTTATAAACACGTGAAGTCTTCCTTTACTTCACTTAAAATAGTCCTGGAGCAGTTACTCTGTGTAAAGACCAGCTGTGCCAACTATTAGAAGACTATAGCTCTTGCCATCACGGAGCTCATAGTCAGATGTAAAATAAGGATGTCTATGTTAATAATACTTACAAAGGTTGGTGCATGCTATAATGATGTTGCAAGAAAAAGACAAAAATAATTCTGACACTAGAAATGAGAAAAGGTTTCACAGAGAAAGGTATATTTGAGCTGCATGTTTCCCTCCCTTTTTAGGTGTAAATTTCATACAGTGTCACCCTTTTTAGTGTACAATTTAATCACTCCCATAAATCCCCCTTCCTCCTTTGTGATCAAACCTTCTCCCTACCCTCAGCCCCTGACAACCACTGATCCGTTAGCTGTCTCTATAGTTTTTCTTTTTCCAGAATGTCATAAAAATGAATCATACATTATAAAGCATTTTTACTCTGGCTTTTTAAATATAGTATAATGCATTTGAGATTCATCCGTGTTGTTGAGTGAAATAGTAGTTCATTTTTATTGTCAAGCAATATTCCATTTAATGGATGTATCGCAGTTTGTATATTCACTCACCAGTTAAAGACATTTGGGTTGTTTTCCTTCTGAGGTGTACAGGTTTGGTGTGAACGCGATTTTTAATTTCACTTTAGTAAAAATATAGGAATGGGATTGCTGAGTTGTATGGTAAGTTTACGCTCAAGTTTTTAAGAAACTATCGCACTATTTTCCAAAGTGACTGTACCTACCAGGAGTGTTCTAGTCGCTTTGTATCCCTGCTGGTGTTTGGTAATATCAGTTCTTTTTTTTTTAAATTATAGCATTCTAAATAGCGTGTAGTGGTATCTAAATGTGGTTTTAATTTGAATTTCCCTATGGTTAGATATGAGCATCTTTTCATATCTTTATTTGCCATCTGTGTGTCTTGGGTAAAATTTCTATTCAAATGTTTTGCCCATTTTTCATTGAGTTGTTTATTATTGAGGAGTTTTTCCATATTTTATTGAGCTAAGGTTGGTTTATAACATATAAATTTCAGGTGTACATTATATTCAAATTTCTGTGTAGACTACATGTTTATCACCCAAAGTCTAATTGCCACCCATCACCATACACATGTGCCATTTTACCCCTTTCGTCCCTGCCTTCCCCTCTGGTAACCA